CATTATACAGCTAGCGAATGTTCGTGAAGAGGAGAAGCGCACGCGGTGTGTAGAGGAGGAAGGGTGCACAGATGGTGGAGGAGTGAAGCGCGCGCGGTGTGTAGAGGAGGAAGGGACGCACAGATGGTGGAAGAAGGAGGAGGAAGCTTGCGGACGGCGCCGCACTACAAGCCTCGAGTATTAGATGCTCCGCATCTAAAAGGTGAGCTTGTCAAGCACGGCCTCCCAGAACGAAACCGCTCGAGAGAGGGAGTTAGCAGCGCTGGTTCAGCGACAGGGAGACTTGATTAAAAGAATGGAAAACAGAATTGCAGAGATGGAACGCGCACATAGAAACGACCAACGGCAGGGGACACAGGCACCAGCAGTGCAAGGACTACAGAAAGCGACGCAAGAGGCGTCTGCTCGCGTACAGGAGAGTGCAGCTATGGAAGTGGAGAATCGGGGGACAGTGAAGAGACCACTGCCGGGGGATGAGGTAGCTAACGCAAAACGATTAGCCGAAACGTCACCAGTAGACATGCCACAGCCTGTTTTTAAGGTCATTAGTCTTAAGTCGGATGTAACAACACTTGCGGATAAAGTAGGCAAACAAGGGAAAAGACAGGATAGGTTGGAGGCTCGAGTCGAAAAGATCGAAGCCAGATTAGACACAATAGAGGAGCGTCTCGGCATGCTCTCCACTGAATTTAAGGATTCCCAAACCCAGGTCATGGGCATGTTTCAGCAGCTTCATACTCTATTGGAGGCAAGACTGCCTCCCGTGGGTGGCCAAGTGCCATTAGTGAACCTGGTGCCTCATCATGGCGCCTCGCCAGCAAATTGAGGTTTGGCAGTGGAACTGCAGGGGCTTTCGTGAAAAGCGGGCTAACCTGCAGTTGCACGTACAAAATCTGGACAGTAAACCAGACATAATAGCCTTACAGGAGGCTAGTGGTTTCGTAAAATTACCTGGATTTAAGGCATTTACAGCGCCAGGAACTGATTCAAGGGGCGTATCACGCGTCTTCACAGCCGTGCTAGTCCATCGCAACATCACTGCCATTCAGCATTCCGTAGATAGCAGCAGGGAAGACTATGTCTTGCTTGAGATTTTGCCTAAACGAAAGTATGAGAAGAGTCTGTTTTTACTTAATGTGTATAGTTCTCCAAAAGATAAAGGATTGGGCTTGCCACAACTCCTGATTCAAACTCAACGGTTAGCAGCTCGCGCTCCGCTTATAGTGGTAGGAGATTTCAATGCGCCTCACCCGGAGTGGGGTTATATTCGAGCCAGCCCAAAGGGCAATCGGCTTTGGCAAGTTGCTTGGGATCTGCGATGGACGCTGTTAAACAATCCACAAGATCATACGAGGATAGGCAACAGCGTAAGCATGGATACCTCCCCAGACCTTACGTTTTTTAGAGGCATCAGTAATGCAAAGTGGATTAACTCGGGACAAGCGCTAGAAAGTGATCACTATATCCTTTTCACGAAGCATAAAGACAAAGTGAGGGGGCATAGAATTACAGATTGGGACAGATTTAGGAAAAACAGAGCAGACACTGTAAACGGGAAAATTAATGACCTGGATGCATGGGTACAGGCGCTCAAGGAGGATGTAAGTAATACCACGGTAGAAGTGCCAGTCGAGCAGGAGGAGTTTACCGCTGACTCGAGACTATTACACATGTGGGAAGCGCACGCGAGTCTCTTGAGAAGGTGGAAGAAGCAAAAACATAATGGCGTCCTTCGTAGAAGGACTGCCAAGTTAGAACGTAAAATCGAAAATTATACAATTGAGTTGCAAGCCAAGCAGTGGGGCCAGATTTGTGATCGCATGAATGGACAGTTTGGATGCAAAAAGACATGGCAGCTGTTAAGGCATCTTTTGGATCCGGCAGCAACAAAATCGGCGCAACGGGGGCAAATGACTTGGTTAATGCATCAATATGAAGGCGCAATTGGAGAGTTTATACAGGAACTCCGGAATCGGTACATAACTGATGGAGTAGATGGTTGCTTACCACACTACTCGGGGGTGGAAAACTCAGACCTAGATGAAGAGTTCACAATTGCAGAGGTGGAGTTTGCCATGGGGCAGCTGCGTACTACGTCTGCCGCAGGTCCGGATGGAGTTACTAATAAAATGCTGAGAAACCTAGATTTCAAATCGGTCGGGGCGATCACTGACTTGATAAATGAGTATTAAGTGGCCGGGGAGATCCCAGCACAATGGAAGCATGCTAGGATTATATTTATTCCGAAGCCAGGCAAGAAACTCTGCTTGGAAAACCTGCGCCCCATATCGCTGACATCATGCGTGGACAAATTGATGGAGCACGTGGTTCTCAACAGACTTCAGAATTATGCAGAGGACAAGGCCATCTTTCCCCCAACTATGATAGGTTTCAGGGCCAATTTGTCCACACAGGATGTCATGATACAGTTAAAACATGATGTAGTCAATCCCGGGCATGGCACGGGCACCAAAGCTGTATTGGGGCTTGACCTGAATAAAGCTTTCGACAATGTTTCGCATGAGGCAATATTGAATAACCTATCGAAAATTGGCCCAGGGTCAGGACATTTCGCTACATCAGATCATTCTTGGAGGGCCGAACCGCAGAAATTTCAATAGGATATCAAATCGGACTCATACGCGTTGGGAGGCAAAGGGACGCCGCAGGGTTCAGTTTTGTCACCGTTCCTGTTTAACATCGCCTTAATTAAAATACCGCCGAGGCTGGAGGAGATACCGGGACTCAAACACACTTTTTATGCAGATGATATTACTCTATGGGTAACCAGGGGTAGTGACGCGCATCTGTTAGAAACACTGCAACAGGCAGTTAATATTGTCGAAGAGTTGGCAGGGGAGGTGGGACTTTCATGCTCTCAGCCAAAGTCCGAGCTCTTTGTGGTTCGGGACAAACCCAGGGGGCTACATGCAAGACACTATATTCCGCCACCGCCATTAGAGGTAAAGGTAGGGGGTAGGCCGGTAGCTGAAGCTCAAACGATTAGAATTCTTGGCCTATATCTGCAAACTAACAGGAAGAATAGGGTGGCCCTTGAAAAACTTAAGACCACGGTCAATGCTACTGTCAGGTTAATCAGAAGAATCGCTAACCGTAAGAGCGGGGTTAAAGAAAAAGAACTCTGTAAGCTGGTACAGGCGTTTGTGCTCAGCAGGATTACTTACGCGACACCTTATATGAAGTTGGATGCCGCAGAAAAAGGTAAGGTCGAGGCTATGATCCGGCAAGCTTACAAGGCAGCGCTTGGGTTGCCTAACAACGCGCCTACAGAAAGGCTGTTAAAACTAGGGGTACACAACACCCTGGATGAATTATGGGAGGCGCATCTGGTGATGCAGCACGCTAGGCTTTCGACAACCAAAGCGGGCAGGATTATATTGGAAAGGATTGGCATTGAGCAGAGGCTCCCACTGGGGACACTAAAATTCAGGTGCGGCGAGAGTTACATAAGGCCCTGTACATAAAACCTTTACCCAAAAATATGCATCCGATTCACCATACGCAGCGCAGGCAGGCAAGAGCCAGAGCTTTACACGTTGAGTACGGCGAGTACAAAGCGGCAGTCTATACAGATGTTGCGGAATATAAGGACAAAAACGCTTTTGTGATTGTGGTGGTGGACAGGCGGGGGCGCTTGATCGCTTCTGGATCGGTCAAAACCCGCTCCTCGGAAACTGCAGAGGAAGCGGCAATAGCGCTAGCTATAACTAATTCGCAGTCAGATTTGATTTTCAGTGATTCAAAGACAGCCATCCGAAATCTGGCGAGGGGCAGAATATCGGCGACCACCGCACGATTTCTGCATGGGGTCACGGGACGAGAAATGAGAGAAATAGAAATTGTCTGGGTACCAGCACACTCTGGGAACCCTGGGAACGAGGCGGCTCACCTGAATGCTCGAGGTTTCGTCAGCCGGGTAGGTGAGCCGCCAGTTCCGGGGAGGTCCGGAGAGATGGGCTGGTGTCCTTTCATGACATAACGAATCATTATAAACTAGAGCGGAGGTTTTATCCGCCCCCGCACAAGCGGTTGACTAAGGCGCAGGAATGCGTGTGGAGAAAACTGCAGACGCGATCTTTTCCCAACCCTTACGTGTTGAACAAAATGTACCCGAAGGAGATTAAGCCGCAATGCAAATGGTGTCAGGCTGTGGCAACATATGATCACATACTCTGGGAATGTAGCATAGTGCCGCCGCCGGTGGATATTATGCGTGATCCCTCTCTTGAGCACTAGGAGGCCGTGTTGACCAGCTCAGACCAGTCGTCCAGTTAAGGGTCGTGGAGTGGGCCACACAGGTCGCCGCCAACCTTGGGTTGATGGCCATCTAACACGGAATCATCCTCAGTTGCTTTCTGACGAAATAAAGTTTTTCCATCCATCCATGAAGGCACTCTCGTGCGTCCTTATCTCGTGGTGGGGGGGGAATAATCGTACGTCTTGGCTGGCATCGGGCTTTCACTAGAAATTTTTTGTTGTAGTTACCAGGTGCACCAAGTTCATTGAAATCGTTGCACAAAATGGTGCGTTTTTCAGACACAGCGAAGTAAGAACTGAGACGCTTATTCGCGTTCATTTGTACTTGTGAGTACGTTTCGTGCGTCATTTGGGCATGAGAAACGCGGGCACGTTTCGATCTGCTTGTCATTCAGCGCGTGACCTTGCACTTTGTTGCTATCGCGTTCATTTCTTTACCTTTGTGGCAAAGCTGTGACTTTTTTCTTTCTTTCTTGCGTTTTTCCTGTGTGGTTACATACGTATACATATACGGTGCTTGACGGCAGCGTGGCAACGGTAAAAACCAGCCGACACTGCTAATATTTGCTATCGCAGTAAAACTTGCAGTGTTCCTTATGCACTCGCTCAAGACGACTCAAAGTTCCTTGAGATCAGCGTGCCCGCTGATCATAGGGAACAAGCGTAGCTGCGTGTCACCGACACAGCCCTGGGTGTAACGTTACTCACTCTTGTTCCTTCAGCGTTCCTTCGAGGCTGCACAATCAAGGAGATCCTCACGTACATGGCATGGCGTTGCGAGCAGGGTATAAAGAAGATGCAAGAACAGTCCAAAAAGGTGAGCCTATTCACTTCACGAATACCGGGAAATGTTGCTTCCCGCAATGTAAAGCAAATAGTAGGAGGAAGAAGCGGAAGGCTGTCGCTACTTAATGCGGACATACTCGCTGACAATGATGATGACGATAATGATGATCCTTGGTGCCATTGGGGGGGGGGGTTGATTTTAAATGAAAAGAATAGAAAAGTGAGCCCCGTAATTGTCTCTCAGGGAGGACACCTCAGCAGTAGCTCTCGAGGTAGGGGGGTAGAGAAGGGATTAAAAGAATAGAATTAAAAGGTAAAGAGATAGAGAGATGAAGGAGAAAGGAGGCGCAGAGACAGCGAACGATGGAAGTAAGGAGAAGAAAGAAAAGATGGACACGGTTGCAGGAGTTCGAGGACGGGGCACCACTGGCGAGAGCTCTTGTCGGCTTCAGGAGATGGTGTAGGGCAAGTCCAGTAGGCCAGAGCTACGCTGACGTCGGAGATCGCGAGGGCACAACCGGTCGGCACGAAATACAGCGAGCGAGTTCACCTTGGTGCCCATAATCCAAGTATCATGTTCAACAGCAGCGAATTCATGTGCCATGGCGAGTAAATTCGGACGCCATAGCCCAGAAGGTCAATGTGCGCTTCAACTTGTTCTTTGACACACGGTCATGGTGGCCGGTTCTCGAGAGCTTATTTCTCGTGGGGGGAGATTTGGTTACCCCGGCCTTCACAAACGCTCGTCAATTCGAATTTCGTCCTTCACTTGGCAGTGTTGAGCACTGCGTCGCTTATCGACTCAAAACGACGCTGTGCTTCTCAGGAATCGCTGCAGATTATTCCTGCTGTGCAGTTACACCGTCTGAATAGAGATGGCGCTCCGTCGACTTTCTCGCCAAGGTGAAGCGTTAAGTGTAGGGACACTGTAGGATACGGGGTTATACGTTGCGTGTTTTCACCGCAAGGCAGCATTGAAACTGTAGGCCGCACGAACATCACTTCGCTTGCTGCACGTATCGCGTTTGCGAAATGAGTGAGCGACTGGCTAGAGCCAAAGTAGGCGATACAGTTGAAATAGCAACTGTAGCAGTTAGCTTGCGCTCGTCCTGTGCATCGGGGACTCGCTCGCTGTATTTCGTGCCAACTGGTTGTGTCCCCGCTATCTCCAACGACAGCGCAGCCCTGGCCGACTGACTCGCTCTACGCCATCTCCTGACGCCGACAAGAGCTCTTGCTGAGTGGTGCCCCGTCCTCGGACTCCTGCAACCGTGTCCATTTTTCCTATCTTCTCCTCACTTCCGTATGAGGCTGACCCTGCGCCTCACTCTCTCCTTCTGCTCTTTCTATCTCTGTACATTTAATCCTATCCTTTGAATCCCCTTACCCCCACCCCTCGTGAGCTACTGTTGAGGTGTCCTCCCCCTGAGCAGTTACGGGGTCAGTTTATCTTCTTGTCATTTAAGAATCTTGCATACTGTGCATTCTTTTGCGTGTTTTTTCACGTGTCCTTGTTTGTTTGTTTGTTTGTTGTTTGTTTGTTTGTTTGTTGTTTGTTTGTTGTTTGTTTGTTTGTTGTTTGTTGTTTGTTTGTGTGTTTGCGAGTAACCCTATGCAAGCGTCGAGCTGTGACTTCGTCCTTTGTGTGTTCTTTCCGGTCATGCCCTTGTGCTTGGGCTACGCGCAGCAAGTTTCGACTTTGTTTTTCGTGCGTCGTTCCGATTTGTCGCTATGCCATTTATTCTTTTGGCTCTTGTGTTGGAACGGTGTGTTGGTCCGGTCAGTGGTACGTTTCAAAAGGGACTATTCCTTGCTACATTTCCCTCACCGACTGGTGCACCATACAAGAAATAATCTTTTTCGATGAATTTCCAGCCGTCAATTAGAACAGATGGAAAAAAAGGTAATCTTTGCGATATCAAGGCAATTTTAGGCATGGTCAAATCCACGTATGCTGAACGCAACACTACGTTTCCACAAGCTTGGCTTGTGTTATTGGTTAAGGCGCATGCAGCGCACAGAAGCATAGCCCTTGAAGTTTCTAAAAATTATATGGAGTTCTTTCTAACTAGTTCACCCTGGGTGTTACACTTAAGACACACGCATGAACAATGCACTTGTAGCACAAAAGGCCATGTAATCAATGGGCTGTACAAGAGTGCAAGCGCTTGTCATGATTTTAACAGTGGTAAACAAGTAAAACACTCAATATATCGTTGCGAATGTATATATGTATGTGTGTGCGTGAACTCGCATTACTACCGTTCAGGAAAGAAATAGAGGATTTTTATGTATGCAGAAAAAAGCCTGTAATAGACTACTTCAATGGGTAGGAATATGAATTTCTTCGGTGCAGTATTGAACATACCAGCCCTCATCATCACTAGTGTGCGTTCTCGCTTTGCTCTGTTCGTAGAAAGAAACTTGCTGTAGCAGTATTCACCACGGAGAACACAATCAAATAACGTTGAAGGTTAGGAATTGTAATAACCTTTTCTTGTTTTTATTGTCTATCTATCTCTCTCTCTACCATGCTCGCAGTTGGGAAAGGTCGTGGATACGCAGGTAGTGATCTTCGACTTTGACAACTTCTCCATGCTGCAAGCCCTCACAGCCGAAGGCAAGAAAGCTTTTTGTTTGTTTGTTTGTTTGTTTGTTTGTTGTTGTTTGTTCGTTTGTTGAAGGTACAGTGCATTGTATCTTTCAGCCGCGTACACAAGCACTCGCGTTTACACGGTCTGTGATTATGCGTCATATAGCTCCCCTCTGTGATGTAACTGCCACGCATTTATTTGTGAACTTACAATAAAGCGGTCGTTGTCACCTCTGCTCAACAAGTCTCAGGCCTGGCCGACCACCGGACATTGACCGTTGGATTCGAGGACTTCACTACTTGACTTTTTACATGAATCAAACTTGCATGTGTATTTTTGAATTAAAAATGTGTCTAAATGTAGGTATTGGAAAATTAAAAAGTACACCTTTCTTTCTCTTTTTTTGCCGCGCAGAACTCGTGAAGTACATGTGCATTGCATACTACACTTCGTGTATCCCTGTCTATAAGGCTTTGTCACAGGGGTTCAAACATAATCGATACAGTTCGAAAATGTACTCGGCCACGCTATGATGGCAATGTGTTCGTTTTGAATATGAATACAGGTAAAGAAATCACTATGGCCAATACACCGTATGCCTTGTGTACAGGCACAGGCCATTGTATTTACCAGCTTGATGACTAAAGCAATACCTTGGGACTGTCACAAACTCTTCTTCTTTCACTTTTTCACACCCATTTTTCTCCTTCTCAAGCACAGTGCAGCCAACCTCTTCTGGTTAACTTCCCAGTCCTTCCTTTCTCTCTCTCTCTCTCTCTCTCTCTCTCTCCTCTCAGGACTTTGATAATGTTTTGCGACATGGCCTTGTCAGATTTTTTTTGTTATTCTGCAATTGTTTTTTGTATGTGTGGTACCCTATAGTTGCTGTACGTATTTTTTGCTTCTTTCTAGCTGTGAGTGCGGTGTCCGCGTTTATTCGAATGTACGAGGCCAACTACCCAGAGCGGTTACACCAAGCCTTCGTCATCAACGGTAAGTACGGGTGTAGTCCTTTCGTTGTCGTATGCATTGTTGTACCCCAGGTTGTATCATTACATGTAGTACACCTCAGCTAGTATTCCTTGCCACCCGCATGTTCTGAACACTTAGCTACGAATCTAACAAAAAACATTGTCTGAATTTCAGCCGACGTTCTGGTAAAATAAACTGAAGGTGCTGTCCCGTCTAGTTAACACTATATACCGCGCGTTTCGCGCTAACCAAACCTGTTCGATTGAAACTTCCGCTGCTCGCCTCGCGTCAGCGACTACCTACAGACAGTTTTATATAAGCCGCCATTTCAGACATCGTTTTCAATGGTTATTCCATCGTCTTAAGCAACAGAAAGGGCTAGGACTTGAAAGGACCGACTAAATGCCGCGTTTGAAGACCGCGTGACTTAAACAGTGAACTACTTGCAGTGCATAAGTGACCTTACGCTCATCGCTCACATGCGTTAGAAGCCAGCTATAGAGCGTTTCACCAAAGGGATCAGTGGAAAAGCAAATTAATGGCATTTTTATTGCCGCCGTATTGGCTTATTCGTATTATTTTGTCAGGCATCCGGCTAAATATTGCCGTTAAGCAAATGTATATTGCGCCCCGACTACTTCACTGCGCAAGGAATATAGAGTCCTCCTCCAGTGACGCTGGGACCACTTGCGAGTCACAGCACGCGCAGAGCTGTGGGAAAGGGAAGCCTGGTGTAGCAGAAATGTTCTTCGTAGACATTTAGCTGGGACGAATTCAGCTATGCCTTCCTTAGTCTATTCAAGCACAGTTAGTTTAGTGGAAACGCAGGGCGGGGTATTAGAGGTGGCACGGCAGTTCTACAAGAAACTTTACGCCGAATTTTTCCCCACTCCATATATGTTTCCTTTCACTAAGGCTTACGAGGATTTCGATATTTGTCGCACTCCTCTCGTCGAAGAGGAAGTGTTCGCAGCTCTTAAATCTGTGAAGCATAATCGAAGCCCAGGTTCGGATGGTTTAACCGTCAAGTTTTACGTCAAGTCTTGGAAGGTTTTGGGGGGCCTTTTACCAATTTGGCAAACAGGCTTCTCCATGAGGGGATTCTGTCAGCACTCAAAGGGAGGGAC